TATGCTCTTCATTAATCTATGGGTAACAATGAAGTGAGTCTTATAAGCAATAATACACTTATTTCTTACTATGACCCTATCAGGTTATCACTAATTTCTATCCCTATTTAATATTTGGAGAAACTGAGGTTTAGAGTAGTTGCCTACACTCACCCATCTATAAGGTAGAGCAGAAATTTTAAAAGTATTTCTGATTGCAAAGCTTTTGCTTTTAAACTTGAACCTATTCAGGGATGATACTTAAAAGACTTTAACTCAAATTAATATATATAAAAATATAAATTAAAAAAAATTTAGTTTGAAAATTTCCTTTATTCTCAACTCTGTACTGTAAACTATTTATCAAATGACAAAAGTTATAGTTCAAACTGTCAAATAATTCTAATTTCAAGTCATTTGTTAATTTTTAGAAAACACGGGTAAAATTTTTTGTGATTTTTTTGATACCAGTTGTCACTAGCCAAGTGATTCCTCTTTCTGAGCCATAAATTGAACTAAGAAAGTATACCGAATTCTTCTAATGACTTTTCCACTAAACTGATAACCATTAGTTACTTTTTCAATAACCAGAGGGATGTTATTAATTCAATGTTGTTCATGATGCTGAATCCTCTATAAGTTGCTGCTAAACAGAAGTTGCATTAAAATTTTTTAAAATATAAGGTTCTATCCCTTATGACAGTGTCCAAGATCTTTAGTGTAATACTTCTTGTTTTAAAGGACAAAAATCATTTATTATACTGCTATATTTATTTTAGTCAAGCCTAATTTTTCAAGCCAGAGAATAGCATAGAAAGACCCTTAAAAGGTATAACTCTATTGCTGAACTGCCTCAGTTTGAATTCTGATTCCTCCATTTAAACTTTAAACTCTGTGCCTCAGTTTCCTCATTTTTAAAGATGACCAAAATTATAGTACTCAAATTAGTTAATATACATTTTAGAATGGTGTTTGGCATAGAGCAAGCACTACATAAGTGTAAGCTCTTATTTTTATTAGTAAAACTAATTTAAGTAATATCTGTGACAGACAGTGTTGGGTGTTCTTTTTAACAATTCACCTCAGTAAATGAAGGTGAAGTATAACAGATTCTCAGGGGTGATTCCCCTAACACACATTCAAAACTAAAAACTTCAACACCAGCAATCTTCCTTTAAATCCTATGATGGGTGGGAAGAGTAGATTTAGTTGCATTGTACTCTTAACCTGCATATGTTGCCCTCTGGCATTTTAACTGTATTAATGAAGCTTCTTGGAGAATATCCACTATGAGGGAGTTAGGTTTTGTTTCAATGGCTGGAGGCCTCTGAGGCTATAAAAAAATCTCAAGGTCATCTGGTTTGCCAAATGGCCTCAGGATGAAGGTCAACTTCAGTGTTCTACTTGCCACTCTGGGTCCTTCCTTAATTTACCTTTTAGCCTATGTACTCCTTTCTAATTCTAAGCAGAGTTCTTGAATATGTTTTGTTTTTATTTTATCTAAAATTTTGGTTATTTGCAGGGAATGGATCAGTTCAGGTAACAGAACATCATAATGACATTCCAAATGCATACTCATCATTAACTCACGAGTACTACATTGATTTTTATTTTAAAACAATATCTTCACATCATAAATAAAAATTAAATCACACTCAAGTCTAAACTAAACAGTAAACTTATTCTCCTTGACCTCTCTCTGGTTCCATTCCCAGAAATACAGTTGACCCTTGAACAACATGAGGGTTGTGGCACTAACCCCACCTCGCAGTTGGAAACCTGTGTATAACTTTTGAATCCCCTAAATCTTAATTATCCCTGGGGTGGAGCGGGGTAATGGGTTCCAAATCTGCCAAAGTTAAAGTTCTCTATATAAAATGAAATAAATCAATGCATACAGTAGGACCTGTATCCATGGGCTCCCAATCAGGAATCAAACCAGTACAGGTATTTACTGAAAAAAAAACCTGGGTACATGGGCCCATGCAGTTTAAACCATTGTTGGTCAAGGGTCAACTGTTAACTCCTTTTAGCAGTGATTGGTTTTATTTAAGTTTTTGTTTGTTTGTTTTGTAGTTACCATTACAAATATAATATAAGGCCTAACACTGTAATTTCTCAATTTTTTGACATCTGTTCACTCTGAAATTTGACACATTTTACTGCCTCACAACATTTCATCTCTTAATTTTATTACTTGATAATTGATATTAATGTTTCTAATATTTATATTTTTATATTATAATTAAGACCTCTGTAATTTGTATAGATTGATTTAAAAATCAATCAATAATATTAAAACAAGACTAGAATAACACGATTATTAACCCAACTAGTGTTGCCAAACACAGAGAAGGAAATGAAATTCTGTCACTAAACCCCTGACTCTTGAAGAATGTCCCAAGCATGAGCTAAAAATGCCTTCTTTATTAATTTTTCACTTTTCTTTACTTCATACAGGAAATGCTCAGTTTCCATGTTTTTCTAGGTTTATGTCATCGTTGGCTTGCTTTCCTTTTTTCATTTTGCTAGAACAAAGGTCTTACATGTCAGAAAATTATTTTTCTTGATGTATTTAATTGAAATTTTAGGTAGAGGCAGAATTCTCAAATTATTTTCAAATTAACACCAAAATTACTGGTTATTGGATAATTCTCAAATTAATATCCAAAATTATTTTCTCTCAGAAATGTGGGAAAATATATAACATCATCTCCTAGCTCTGAAATGTTGCTAATGCTGCTGAGAAAGTGTTGATCTCAGTATGTTTCTCATCGCTTTGTAAGTGATTCAGTCACTTTTCTCTCTGGAATCCTCTAGGATGTTTTGTTTATTTCTAGTCTTCTGAAAATGCAAAACAATGTGAAAAAATATATGTCTTTTAAAATTCCTCCTCCTTGGTATTTTCTTGAACTAGTCTAATAGAAGGTTTATGTCTTTATTCAGCTCAGGATAACTTAACTGTTGTTTACATCAAATACTCCCAACTACTATCTCAGCAACTACTATTCTGCTTCCGAAATGTCTAATAAACAGGTGCTTGACTTGTGTTTAGCCTCCATTTATCATATTTTCAATCTCTTTGTCCTTTTTAGATTCAACTAATGCTTATGTTGTAGTTTTTAAAATTATTTCAATGGGAACTTGTAAAAGGAAGAGAGATGTATATGTGCTTTGTATTTCATTTGAAAAACGAAGTCTGGGTTTTTAAATATTTTTACATGAAACTTCTCTGTAAAATGTTGAAAATTAAACTATATGCCTTCCTTGAAGATTGAAGCATACCATATACATAAATTTTAAATATATGAGAGTTAAATGTTCTAATAATTTAGTAAGAATTATAAAATTAATTTCATTATTTTATATGTTTGACATCAACTTTGATTTGAGATCAATAATTTGGTTTTTCATTAGATACGTATTATATGCCTGCATGTTTGAAGGGTAATCTCATTTGCAAAAGGGATTTAAAAACCAAAGTATTCTATGTGACTAGACTATCTTGCTTCTTAGGTAAGCATAGTCTCACCCAATATTTTTATTGCCAAGTGTTTCCTGCCAAAAAAATAAAAAATAAAATAAATAAGTTTCCAAATCCAGTTAGAAACAAAGTTAAAAGGGAAACATGTAAATATTAGGTAGGAGCAATTGGTAGAGCAACTCATCTTTCTTGAAAGCAGATCTCTATCTGTTTTCACTACAAATATAAAGTATGAAATATACATATTCATTCCCATGGGTACCTGCAGAGATTCACATTGTTTTTCCTAGTAGCTATAATATTATGATAGAAATGACTATGAATCCATTCTAAATATTCCTAAGTGTAAAAGCTTTATATTACTAATAAATAACTATGACACTTCACAGCGGATCCTAAGGTGTGTACGACAATGATTCACTTGAGAAACAGCACAACCCTTAAATTCCTCAAGATGAAGAAATGATCTATTAAAACAACACATTTACTTAACAATTATGAGAATGTCTTATATGTCAAGAACACTACCAGATGATTTTAAACTGTCTTTGGAACTTATATCTACAAAAAAATCTCATACAACCTGATGCTAATTTTGACCCCATCTCTTAAATGCAGTCAACTGATGCTTCAGAAAACAATAAGCCCATTCCTCAATGGCTCTCACCAAATTAATTTAATTCCTATTATTTCCTAGACATTTACAGCTATACTAATTTTAACTAGCATTGCATTTGTGCTTTCTTTAAATTAGTTCATTCTAATCTTATACCAGTTATTTCATCATTGAATGCTTATAAATAAACTCTTGGCATTGTGTACCTAGTAGAATTATTTCAGCAAGCAATGCCAATTTTCTGGTTGATTGACTACGTTTTAAACCCTGGTTGATGATTCTGTTTTGGTAATTTGTTATTATTAATATCTTACAATGATGGTCTAATTTCTATTAAAATTTATTTTAACAATACCTATGCACAGAAGCCTAACTTTTTAACTGTAAATTTCACTTCGATCTTTTACTAAATTTAATCTGAATGAAATAGTCAAGCATTCATTTTTAAACTTTATCTGCTTTCCTTATTTCTATTTATTCAGTACCTAGAAAAAATGAATATTCATTTAGAAAAGTTCATATCAACACAGTTTAAAATTCCGATTAATGGGGATAAAAAAATCACTGAAGTATCTAGTGTTTCAAGATAGATTCAAATTGAAAAGAAAAAAAATTACATTCATGACTAAACTGAGTTGTATCTAAAGTAAACCTACTTCATATGTAACATGAGCCCGGTTTTCCTACATGTCCTAGGAATGAAGGCTCTCTAACCCAACAGGAGATGTTCCATGTTTTTTATTCTCTCACGGAACAAAGATGGACTTCTACTTTGCTTCAAAAACTTTGAAAATATGGAAGTATCATACTAGCCAAAGGTGTTACAGCAGGCTCCCACGTACCTCTCTCAGGTCATAATATAACATTCTCCTCTGTGATTGTTAGATTACAAATAAGTTTGGTTATAAAGGGTCTTCTTACCATATCAGATAGTTTAGTGGCTCTTTCTGTTCTTGACAAGAAAGCAGTACATTGACTAGTCAAGTGAGGAGGTTCATCAGAAATTCCACAGACCTGTGAATGCCAAAAAGCATACTGAAAGGAGTATATCACTTACACTTATCAATACAAGTGGCACTATAAGTAATAAGTTTGCAGTGAGCTCATCAGTATTGCTTTATCACTAAATACAGACATATATTCAAAAAAAGAAAAAATTAAATTGGATATAGAAGTAAAAGGCTTCAAGTTAATGAGATATTAAAATGGAAAAAGAGTTGATTCTATGAACCTCTAAGAAAGTAAGATGGATCTGCATACATTATTTAAACATATTAGGGGTGAGTTATTAGCTATACTCTAATGTCAAATACAGACATCAATTCTTGTTCTGTTTCATAACCAGGCAAGTTGTAATTTCTATACTATATCAGTATAAGATATTCAGCCAATTATACAGTAGTATTTGTTAATACTTAATTATTAATACATGAAATAAAAATATAATAACAATAACTATTTAAATGGATTTTGTGACAATCTTGGATTAATAAATTTTCTATTATTGGAAATGATCCACATTCTCTTAAATATCATAATTCTTTATATGAATTGAAGATGAAAATTAATAGTCTAGATGAAGTAGGTAATCAAAAATTTAATAAGCCATTATATAATCCTTGTAATGTGATACTTTGCAATTTATCATACAATTAAACCATTTGTATTCATTTAATAATTTAAACTAGAACCAGCAGTAACCACCTATAACCATTCTTTATGTATACAAAAGGGATGAGAATTTATTTTCCCATTTTTGCACGCTTCACTGTTTTTATTTCAGAATTTGACATTCATATTTAATACTTCAAAAATGTATACCTAGTATAACAGTTGGATATCTTTTTCTTCATTTTTGAAGAATATTAACCTGCTAAAAAATCCATCCCTCACATACTATAATTTTGAAACTATGTGCCTCTCTACCCTAAATGCTCAAATTGGTGCTTTTCCACTCTTTTTCTCATAATATTATATTATTATTCCTACCTAGTCATTCAGAAGAAAATAGATTTTATCACTTTCAAAAACAGAAAAATAACGGTCACATCTTAGAAATGTGAAAGCCAAAAATATAGAGCATCTGAGCCAGCATTATTACTTTGTGTGGTTTTATACTTATTGAAACTGCAAAGTAATTCATTTTTATAATATTATTACTATCATGTACATGGACAGGAAATTATAACATAAAGAAGTTCAAAAGCATTTTGCAATTTTAACTGTTTAGGGGAAGAAGTTAACAAGTGCAAGTGATGAATTACTCACTGGATGACTTCAGCTTTAGAGGGAATAAGTACTGAACAGAAGACATTTTTTACCCAAATAATTAAAAATAATAAAATCCAGATAAAATATAACAAAATCCTATTTTTAAAGGCCTCATAGAGTTGTGTATGCTTCCAACTCTATGAGCTGTCACTATAGACTAGACAAGAGGGGCAAAGATTCTGAAGAGGGTAGAACCTCTGAAAGGCGAGCTATCAATCTGCAGGTGCTTTGTCCCTGGGGGCATTTGTTGACAACGGGCAAAAGAGAAAGAATTGGGGTTTAGACCTGGCAAAGGGCTGTTGTTAAGGAACTGAGAAACAAGCTTATTGTGGTCTTGTTGGGCCAGAATGACAAAAATTGCAGATTTGAGAAGGCATAAAACACGTGGTCTGTCTTCCCATCAAGATGTTTGCAAGGGGATGAGTGGCAAGATAATGCTGAAACTCTAAATTCTAAAACACAGAGATATTAAGAGAGTTCAGAGAGAGGGGTGCTGAAAACATCAGGCTCGTAGATGAAATCCCCAGAGAACTACACTTTTAAAAATGAACAAGCCAGAAGTAAACTAAGTTCTAGAAAAACTGTATTCAATTCATGATTGGATTAAGGTGATCTCATCTGACTTCGGTCTGCCTTACAGAGAAAAGTATGAAATCTGTTTAGAAGAATATAACACCATTTAGAGTCTCTATATTATAAATAATATTTGGCATTCTGCTAAAAATTATGGACCATGCCAAAAGACAGATGTGCATGATAAATAATCAAGAGGAAAAAAACCCCACAGAAAATAGCAACAGATTGATAGGTGGTCCAGATATTGGAGTTAGCAGACAGGACTTTAAAATAACTGTGATTACAGGGATGTAAAATACAGTATGGGGAATATAATCAATAATGTTGCAAAGATTATGTAGGGTGTCAGATGGGTACTGGACTTACTGGGAAGAATCACTTCATAGATTATATAAATGCCTAACCACTGTGCTGTACACCTGAAACTAATATAAAATAATATTGAATGTCAACTATAATTAAATATATACGTATATATATTTACATATATATTTATATACAAATACACAGCCACAGGATATAAAGTATAGCATAGGGAATATAGTTAATGGTATTATAATAACTATGTATTATAATAACTATGTACAATGTCAAAGGGGTAGTAGACTTGGGGGGAGTTATCACTTTGTGAGTGGTGTAAATGTCTAATCATTATGTTGTTTTATACACCTGAAACTAATAAAAAGAAAAAAGAAAATAAAACCAATAAACAATAAATTGATGAGAAGCAATAAGCTGTCAAACTCACTTCTCAAAAGAAATAACAGAAGGCCCAGAACAATGCAATAACATCTTCAAAGTGTTAAAAGAAAATTTATGCCAACCTAAAAATCTAAACAAAAAAATAAATAAAATATGACTAGAGACATTTTTAGACAAAAACTACAATAATTAATCATCAACAGAAGAAACACTAAAGAGAGTTTTTCAGGCAGAAGAAAAATGATCCCAGATGGAAACTTGGAAATGCAGAAAGAAATGAAGCAGAACAAAAAGGGTAATTGTGTGGGTAAATATGAATAAATATTGACTTCAGGAAACTATATTCAAAGAGTTTAAAATATAAATAAACTTAAAACATTTGACAGTAATTAAACAACACTGAGGTAAAATGCTCTAGGTCAGCATTATTGGGAAAGCAGTAAAAGTAATCCTTTTTATTGGACTGCAAAGTAAAGAATGCATATTATAATTCTGGTGGTAACCACGAAAAGAAGAGTAAAACAATGCATAACTAAAATGTAATAAAGGGAGATGAAATGGAATAATATAAAAGCATTCATTCGAAAAAAGGTGAGGTAAGAAAAATGCTAAAATAAGTAGGCCAATAGAACATATAAAATAATATGGTTTATATACATACAATTATATTAGTAACCACATTAAATATAAATGGATTAATATTGTAGTTAAACACAAGGTTTATCAGACTGGGTTTTTAAAACTCTCACATTTAGGATGAATCTTTCCTTCTTATAGCGTGTAAACTACCAGAGTCTGAGTTATACCTAAAGGTAATTTTTAACTGATGATAATAAAAACAAAACATTGCATTCTTATTATGTTCCAGAAGCTAATTAAAGTACTTTACATAAATTGATCTTTTAACATTCACAATATACGTTGAGATATGCACTATTATGATCTCCATTTACTAAGGCATGAAGAGTTCAAATAACTTACACAAGGTAAGTGGCAGAGCAAAAATATATGCTCAAGCACTCTGACAAGACAGATCATGTTCATAATCACTGTGCTATGCTGTCTCAATATCTTCAGTAGAGAATAAAGAGTATTTATAATAAGGGTTTTTAAAAATAATGCTTGTAACTTACAATTTTAATAATTCTTTTTAATCTAAATGTCAAGTTACTCAGAATAATGAACTTCTAGCACATTTTAAACCAAATATAACAGAAATGTTCTAAAATCTACTAACATTCATGACGCATTTAAAATATATTTATATCAGGACTTAAACATTGTTAAGATGGTATTAGTCTTATGTGTTTTTTAACCACATTAAAAATATGTATACTTACATCAGACTGATATAAGTTAAAGACACATTTCAAAGGTTAAATGACAGAAACTCAAATTAAAAGTCTAGAAATCTAGAAAATCTAGCAATCTAGAAAAATTAAGATGTTTTAGAGTGTGCAAAGGCATGTTGAACTTGTTCTTATTGTAGCATCTCAATAATAAACTGGCTAATTTAACAGAAAATAAACTGACGGAAAAGAGATAGCTGTTTTGAGGAAGCTATCAAATGTACTACTGGGGCCTCCAGAAGCAAAAAATAATAGAAGGAAAATGTCTATAAGTTAAGGATATATGGATGTAAGAGCTATGATGGGTCTGAGATTTTTACCTACTTCAAGCTAACAAGTTAACCTGCCACAGCTTACTGATGCTGGCAGAAAACATGAGACTCCTGAGTCAGAGACAAAGGACCTATTACACATGGCATCAAGAATAGCACGAGCATCAGCATGCTTGCAACAGTGATCTTTGCCCTCAAGTCCTAAGCAATGTCACGTGCAGTAGCTTAATTTCACTCTACATAGGAGACCTCCCTTGGCCCTGGCATGAAAAAGATTGACAAGTTGATAACTTTTTCTCAGTTCCCTAGGTGGTAGTGCATGGCCCTTCTTAGTTGGTAGAGTAATTGATTTGTCTAGCTGATTCTGATAACAAACAAGATTCTGGCATACTAACTAGTTACGCAACCCCCAAGCAGTGGGCATTCTCCCCACTTCTTAGCAGGACAAGTGGTGCACAGCCACCCAGGATTTCAGCAAATAACAGGTCCGTGATGCCCTTACATGTCCCACTTTGCACGCACACTACAGCCAACTGGCTCAGCACGGGACTGCTCTAAAACTGTAGGTGCAGGTAACCCTTTGAGCCCCATTCATCATGGAATCAGGACTGCAGTTATTCCCAATGAACAAGAAATTCCCAGTAAGGGGCATAAGCTTGTGTTGATTGGTTTAATGGGGCCCTCAAATCAGACCCCCAGGTTGGTCCACACCTTGGCAGAGCACCTAGAAGACAGTCCAACTAGACTATCTATTGCAGATGAAGTGAAAGTTTTAACAAGGCTCCTCTAGATGAACCTGCAGAAGGATTATTAATGAGCCTCAGTACCTGAAGGGACAAAGGAATGCTGAGTCTCCCATCCTCCCAGTGCATGAGAACAATTGCACAGTGACGTGATATACCATGTTGCATGGAAGGAACTTGGAGTCCAAAGTGAGGCAGTGAGACACAAAATGAAGGGAAATTCAGGCAGCATAGAGATATGAGGGTAGAGAGCTAGGTAGGCACTACTAGGGATATTGTACTTAGACTTCTACCTTAGGTAATGGATGGCCCTAAGATTAGCAGAGGAAGCTTGGAGAGAAGGGAAATTATGGCAGCAGTGACATAAGGGCGTAGAGAACTAGGCAGGTACCAGGTTATGAAAAGGGCATTGTTCTTAGATTTAAATTTTTTCCTCTACCTGATAGAAGGCACAGAATTTTAGGCAAAGGGAGTTTATTAAAAGGTAGTGCCATTATTTGACATGTGTTTTAGAGAGATACTGCTTCTAATCATATAGCCAAATTTGCATTATTTTTTTCTCAGCTTTACTATGTTCTTAACCCACTCCTTAAGTTTTACCCATATGTTGTTATAAACGATTTCTCCCTCAGACTCTTGGGTGGTTGTTCACTTGTATTAAGATGTACTAAATGAATTTTGGGAACTTCTAGGTTATATATATATATATATATATATATATATATATATAAAATTTCTTCTTCCAGATTAAATAATGGTTAACTTTCTAGCCTGCTAGCTTTATCTAGTAAACCTAGCCTACCAGGGAATGACTCCAGCTTTTCAACTTTCTCCAGTAGGCAATATATATATATATATATATATATATATATATATATATAAAATTTCTTCTTCCAGATTAAATAATGGTTAACTTTCTAGCCTGCTAGCTTTATCTAGTAAACCTAGCCTACCAGGGAATGACTCCAGCTTTTCAACTTTCTCCAGTAGGCAACTATAGAATTTATCTAATCTTAGGTTCGAATTGTTTAGTAAGGTTAACTCAATAATGCTGGATATGGAAGTGAACCCATAATTTTTCAGTATGCATTAGCTAATGTGAAAGACCATGAAATACAAAGAGCTTGCAAGAATAAAGCAAGGAGAACTCACATGACAAAGAAAAAAGTTTGAGCAATGATAAACAAGCTATTTTAAATTATAACTTCTGATATTATTTCTATCCCCTGTGGCATCCTTTATGTGATGGTGTGTTGAGAGGGATTAGAAACAGGACAGATATGTGGAAATATTACTTAGAAAATCTTTGTCAAACCCCCTTTCTCTGAGTCAGCCTTGGGCAGTGTCTTTTCTGATGGCTATTTAGCAGCTTAATTGAGATCAGCCTTCTAGAGAATTAAGTTATATCACAAATCAAAAGGTCTATTATTACACCAAAGTAAATATAAGATAAAGAACTTTGCTTTTATCCTTATTGAATTTCTCTTGTTAGTTTTAATTATCAGATATTCTCTCAACTATTACATCATCTGAAAATTTGATAACTGAAAGTTATTTATTCCTTCCAAGTAAATGGTAGAAACGTTGAACAAGACAGGAGTAAAGAATGAAGCTACACAATATTGCCACAGATTCTATTTAGGTTGAAAATAATACTGTTATAGTCACTCAGTCAACCACTTATAAATCAAAGTAACTGAATTATAGTCCAATACACATTTTTCTGAATATGGTTACCTGTTAAAGACTATACTGAAATCTATATGAACAACATTCCCACTAAATTTCATATTGGTAAGGGAAATTGGCTGCATAATTTAGAATCAGATATCATGTAATATCAAAATCTAAAAATACCTTTAAAATATAACACAAAATTAATGAATGTATGTTAGCTTCTTTGGTAATAAAACTTTGCTGCTAACCATTACTATTTTTTAAATGTATCCATGACATTCTTTATTTTTTCCACCTTTATTGAGGTATAATTAACAATAAAAATTGTATATATTTGTGGTGTGCAAGGCGATGATTTGATATATGTATACATTGTGAAATGGTTACCACAATCAAGCTAATTAGTATATCCATCACCTCACATAGTTCTCATATTTTGTGTATGGTGAGAACAATTAAGATTTACTCTCTTAGCAAATTCCAAGTATACGATAGAGTATTATTAACTATAGTAACCATGCTATACATTAAATATCTAGAACTTATTCATCCTGCATAGCTGAAACTTTGTACTCTTGAACCAACATCTCTCCTTTCTCTCACCGCACCACCCCCTCTCCCAGCCCCTGGCAACTACAATTCTAATGTCTGCTTCTGAGTTTGACTTTTTCATATTCCACATATAAGGTAGATTATACAGTATTTGTCATTCTGTGTCTGGCTTAGATGACTTAGCATAATGTTCTTCAGGTTCATCCCTGTTGTCACAAATGGCAGGATTTTCTTCTTTTTTTAAGGCTGAATAGTATTCCTGTGCATGTGTGTGTGTGTGTGTGTGTGTGTGTGTGTGTGTGTGTAGATCATATGGTAGTTCTATTTTAATTTTTTGCAGACTTTCCATACTGTTTTCCAAGGTGGCTGTGCCAATTTACATTTTACATCCACACCAACAGTGTACAAGAGTTCCATTGTCTCCAAATCTTCACCAACACTTGTTATCACTAGTCTTTTTAAGAATAGACATTCTATCAAGTGTGAAGTGATATATCATTGTGGTTTTTTATTTGCATTTTCCTGGTTATTAGTGATAGTAAGCATTTTCTCACATACCTGTTAACCATTTGTATGCGTTCTTTTGAGAAATGTGTATTCAGATCCATTGCCCATTTTTTAATTGGATTATTTGTTTTCTTGTCATTTAGTTGTTTGAGGTCCTTGCATATTTTGGATATCATCCCCTTATCAGATGCATGTTTTGTAAATATTTTTTCCCATTCACCCTGTGGATAGTTTACTGTTCACAGCTTTTTAGTATGATGCAATCCAATTTGTCTAGTTTTTTTTTGCCTGGGCTTTTGGGATCATATTCAAAAAGTTATTGTCCAGAACAATGTCAGGAAGCGTTTTTCTTATTTTTTCCTTCTAGTAGTTTTACAGTTTTGGTGGAAAATTCCCAAACTTTGATGAGAACAAAAAATCTACATATCCATGAAGCTTAACAAACCCACAGCGAAAAAGACATCAAGGAAATTATACCCAGGTACATAATAATCAAATGGACTAAACTGGTAAAAAATAAGAATTTTTTTTTTGTGCATGTGGATTTTAAAATTTTATTTTAAAATAAATTTTAAAAACAAATGAAACAGAAAACATCAGTGGTTCGCTGGGAACTGGGAAAGCGACTAACTCCAAGCTGGCACAGGGGAATACTTGGGTGATGGAACTAATCTGAATTTTGTTGGAACTAACCAACATATTGAACATTAAGGATGGTTTTACAGGATGTAAATATTTAAAAAAACAAAACAAAATTGATTTAAAAGCCAAAAATTTACTCTAATGGTGGTTGAGGTCAATCTTTTAAAAACTAATAATAAATTAACAGAATCAATCATTTAATTTATCAAGAAGTATGGATAAAGCAAATGTTTAATAAAGACTATTACATTTGTTTTTACCAATAACAGAAAGCTAAACAATGCAAATATTTAAAAGGTACCATTTACAATAGAATTTTAAAAAATCAAATACCGAGGAATAAATCTAATAAAGATGTGTAAGACTTCTACACAAAATTATAAAGCTGAAAAGCATTTAAAGAAAACCTAATTTTAAAAAGACCTAAATGTATTTTCAGAAAATAGTGGAGCAATCTAAAAATGAAGATAAGCATTTAATGAAATGTATATGAGAGTCTCAAAGAGATAAAGAATAAGATCCACTTTAAAAAAAAGGAATTGTAAATATAGCTGTGGATTAAATTATTTTTTATTCTTATACCAGAATTTGCTATATAAATAATTTTAATAATAATAATATGGCTTTTAATAATGAGGCATACACGATCTGACAATTAAATTCATGAACTTGTTGCAGCAATGTTGCTAACCTTTTCTAATATCAGAGAGATTATTCATTATGAATTTGTACCAACTGGACAACTGTTTGGTTGAGTGCTTTGAATATCATAGTGATGATATTCAGCAATGATGTATGTAGCACTTTTTCTAGGATGAGTTCACAAACTTAATTGTCAGACCTCGTATATATCACATGTAATTTTTCAAAACCCACATAAGGGATATTATTTGGTATTCACATATTACCTGATAATCAGCAGGCCCAGGAGTACTAAAAGCTTCTTTCTGAACTGAGCAGAAAGTCCGAGGAACAGAAGAACCAAAAGCACTGTTCTTTTGTTTCGTTAAGCACGTATTGCTAAAGCTGTCAATTATAGTATTGTTCAGGATATCATAAAATCCAGGACCTAAAATTATGAAGAATATCATATGTAAGAATAAACATGCTTTTAAATCTTTTTAGCTGTTTTTTAGAAAAGTAATTTTTTTAGAAATAACTCTCATATATTGCTACCAGGAAAGCAAAATGATATGGCTCTTTGAAAAACAATTTGGCAAATTCTTACAAAGTTAAATATATACTTTCCATATGACCCAGAAATTCTACTTCTAGGTAATTTCCCAAGAGAAATAAAAACTACCCAAATGTCTATCAATGGGTGAATGGATAATCAAAATGTGCTATACACAAACAAGTGACTACTACTCAGCAACGAGATAAGTGTGTTCGAAGCAAGGGAGAGTATTTTGAGGGGGATTAATGGCAAATGTGTATTTTGCTGATATATATATATTTTTTTATTTAAACATTCACCGTATTGTTTGATCACACCTTGTGCATGCGAGTGTGGCTTTGGTCCAGTATATTTTATTTTAAATTAAGAAACCTACAATAGGAAACCTACAACCTTTTTGTAAGAAATTGTACCAACTTAGAATGAAAGGAACAGTAGTGAAAAATGAAAAGTAGTTTATAGACCCCAGCGTTATATGTGTAAGAAGCAGGCTGAGAAAGCTCCAGCTACAAACACAGCCTATTTCTTATAGAAAGGAAGGATGATTCAAAGGATGAAACCAAGAGCTCAAAAGATAGACTCAAGAAAATGGCAACATACGCCTACCTACTTGGATTACAGAATAGGCCTGTGACTGCTATGAACCTTCAGATTTCCCTCTTTTTTAAACAGAAGTGTCTAGTGTGATTATTCTATCACTCTCCCACCATTGTATGTTGGATGTGAGGGGCACATAACTAGCTCTTCTAATAGAGAGGAGTTATACTCAAGAAGTTGATCTGAAGTACCACACCCAAGAATCCTCACCTGCACCTATTCTTGACTAAGATAACAAGATCCTGGACTTCAAGATTATACCATAATTGCATGAGAATTTGGAAGCCTTGAGAAGACATGTAGGAAAACTATTAGTGTTTTCTGACCAGAGAGTAGTCTATAGTAGGTTAAAGATGGCCACAGATTTTTTGCTACCCCTATCATTGAGAGATGAAGTTTCATGTCCTTCTGTTCTACATGTGCTGCCCTGAGTGGCTTGACTGACTAATAGAATGTGGCAGAAGTGATGTCTTGGGATTTCTGAGGATAGGCCATAAAAAGCCTTGCAACATCCTGCCAGGTCTTGTGGAGCTCTGAGCTGCCATGTTCAAAGACCAGCTACCCAGGGGCAGCAGTGCTGGAGCTTTGCACGCACTCGGAATGACAGTACCATCTGAGCTCTGCCTTCCAGCTATCCCACAAAATAATGAGATACAATAGAAAAGTCTGGTTCTGGCAAAACCACTAAGTTTATTATGCAACAACAGATAGCTATACGTTCACAATTATATAAGTTATTTTGGTGCTATATCTCTTAGCTCTGTATATTAGAATGTGCACTGAAAATACCAGAATATGTGATTGGACTACCAAAAATAAAATTTTAACAAAGCTGACTATCATAAGTTATGTTACTGGCAGTGACCACATAGTTGATATATATATGTTCATCCACCAAGAAAAAATAAGGAAATTCACTGAATAAGTGAAAATTATAACTAAGATGTGTGACATGTTAAATTTGAAATCTTACCAAAATTGTATGCTATTTTTATCTGTTTAGTGCATAGTCAATGCTTTAAAAAAGCATTGTTGACTTAAAATGACAACGCCAATGATAGAACAACACCAACAAAAAGACTGCTCTCTGGTGCATCCATTTTGTTAAGAATATGAAGTTACATAAAGCTACAAAGTGGTAATGCACAGATTAATTCCTAACCTGGCATTTCCTCTGTCCTGGAGACCTGTGTGAATCGAGCAGCACTTTGACCAAACGGGGTATTTTTCAGTGTTGGTGTTTTCTGCAAGGACTTGAAAGCAGTTCGAGATTCATTGTATGTGCCAGGAGCTGGGGTGGTTGATTTATTAGGTGCAAATCTCTAGTGAAGAACGGGAAAATATGCCAATGAGAAACTACAGTACATTTTTATACTTCATGAGTCGAAAACTGCCTTCTTAATAATATAACATCTGGAATTTAATTTAGTTCTTAATGGAGTGAAGAAAATGTAGATGAATTAAGATCTTGGACCTATCGAAACATAAAATATATAGCTTTTAGTAAAATAATCTACATATTAATACAGCAACACATTATGTACTTTACTAAGCCACACAGACATTTGGAAGGAAATTATCTCAATATGAGATTCTAGATGATAGTGTATGGCCCAGAGTCACCTATTTTTACATATTATACCATTTGCTTTCTTTTTATTTGCCCACTCTCTCTGTTTCTGCCTTTTTCTCTCTACTCATTTCTCCATCTTTCTGTCTCTCTCTCTCTCTACACATACACACACACACACACACACACACACACACACACACATATATTTAATGAAAGCTACATATGTATGGCCCTTTATCATTAAATACTTTGGAGTGTATTTACTAAAAATAGGGATATTTTCCACATATCTGAAGTACAGTTATCAACTTCAGTAAATGTATCAATGTTAAATTTATCTAATCTACCATTCATAGTCCAAATCTGTCAGTTGGTTTAATAATGCCTCTATTGCATTTTTGCCGTCCAATACATAATCTATTCTAGGGTCAGATATTGTTCTTGTCTCCATTAATGCAGGAATATTTTCAAAGCCTTCCTTTATGTTTTGTGACTTTCGTAGAACATAGCACCCCCCTTTTGTATAATGGAACCTTCCCTAGTTGGGGTTTCTCTGATGCTTCCTCATGATTATATTCAGGTTATGCCTTTCCAGACAGAATACTAAACCGGTGATGTTGTGCCTTTCTCAGGGTATCATGTCAGGAAGCACACGATGTCCTCTGGACCTCACTGGTGATTTTAACTTTGATCAAATCCAACACTCAATCTACATGTATCAGTACACACTCAGCATTCTACTGAAAGCAAGAGCCCTCCCTCCCTTCTCCCCCAATTATTTATTTAACTATCTACATATCTATCTTCTTAAATAAGAAGAATATCTTCTATTTATTATCCATATGGTCTCATAAATGCCAGTTTTAATTATTTGTTAATAATTACTGGGGTTTTTTTGCCAATAGGGGGCCCTTCAAGTTGGTTCATATGCCCCTATGATATACCCTCATCTCTTTTTTTCTTGGAGACGTTTCTTACTTTCTGACATAACAAGATGTTACAGGTTCATCTTCCACCTGCTCTGCACAGTCCCTGCTTGTTGGCTAATTTAGCAGACGGAGCTAGAATGCATATCTATATATCTGCATCCCCACATGCACATATACACAGACACATATACATATGTGCATATATGTCATATACACATACATGTATACATATATATTTTTGTAAATCATGAGTTCACAGAAAAACTTTCAATGCAAATCTGTTCCACGGGGTTCCTTCTCACCTCCTCCAGATCCATATCTGCATGTACTTTCTTCCATGGTGAAAACCTGGCTCACAATATCAACTTTTTAGCTCAACCTAGCAATACACCTAAAATAGTTTCATGATTGCTTCACCTATACCATTACAATAAACCAACTTACTAAGAAGAATTCAGAATGTGTTTGCAATTCTGTACTCATTACACCCCACTCCATCCTGGCCGAGGCTGATATAGTCAAATACTGTGGTTACCTGGTTTATTCTTTTTTTTTTCCCCCCTTCAGTGTGGTTAAGCGTATACATTTAGAATACAATAGCTCATTTGTTTCCATTTGCTTTCAGTTTTAGGGATTTAAAAAAAACAAAAACCACCCTTTCCATTCTTATTCATCTTTAGTTTTGAATATGTGGAACACTGACTTGCTTCCAAAAGACCAATATATATTTTTTTAAAGTATACTCAAAGAAGTGTTACACCCTCTCATTTGCCCACGGCATCTGTGCCACTGGGGTGAAAATGTCCAAATTTATAACATTTGCTCATTTCCATGGTGTAAATGCACCACCATGGTGGCTAATTTCACTCTACCAACATAACATCAACCAACATGCAAAACTGGAAAAGTTAACAGTTGGCTCCTGCGAGCCAGCAGAAGTGAACTTCAGCACAGCAGCAGTGCTTCAATGCCATCTCCTCACCACCCCTGCAGGCAACCCACTTCATTGTTTTCTGACTTATCCTTGATGTGTTCACATAAAGGTAAGCAATTATATGTATGTGTCTTATTTTCCTTTGTTTCTTATACAAAAGGGTATACATTATATATGCCCTTTTGCATTTTATACAGTAGGTAAATCTTAACACTACCAAAAATAAATGTATTAATGGAACGAACAAAAAAGACTCTCTAAATTTTTCTCCTAAATACTATCTTATTATTTAGTGACTGAGTACAGTATTTAAAAAATTATAATATTCAATCCTGGCTGCATATAGAATTACTTCAAAAACTCCTTACTGATGCCTGGGCCCTATTCTGGAAACACTGAGTCAATCTCCGGGAGGGAGGGAAGAAGGCACCTGGGTATTAGAAGGTATTAAAATTTCCCAGGCATTTCTAGCACACAGCAAGATGAAGAGCATCGTGAGAAAGGAAATCTTATGTTTAAAAATTAATAGCTGAAGACATAGAGAAATTCAATGCATTTAGACAAAATACCAGGCAACTCCTTCAATCGATAATTAAAATGAGCAGTCCAGAAACATAATTTGTCTTTATACCTATAAACCAAAAATTGTGTGTTAAGTCTGCCTTGTTAATCTCATTATTGCTTTTTCTATCAGAGTCATTAGTGTATTTGTTCATATTCAACTAACACCAATACTACCCCTAGCAGGCAGTCCTCATGGTTTTAACTCCTCCATATTTTTACACCAGAACCATTATTCTTTCTTTGTCATCCCCTTAAACAAAACTGATATCATGTTCTGTTCCATTTCTGCAAACGTATTCAAAATATTATAATTGATGCCAACTGATGTCAAATAAAGACTTTATACCAGATGAACAGAAATAGCATACAAATTGAGAGTTTTAGCTGTAAAATTATGTTTTTAAAAATCAAGGGCATACACATGCACAACATACTATTCCCACACAATCACTTTGCGTAGCACCTTAAGTACCATCAAGTTAAGTACCACCTTAAGTACCTCAAGGCAGAAACTGGTATTCATTCTTGATTCTTCCTAAGTCCCTCGTACAACATCTAACCCATTAAAAAAGTCACGTTAATTATAACTCCAAAATATACCAGCAATCCATCTACTTCTCGCCAAGGAGGTACCTCTTAGGTACAATGAGACCAAAGTAGTCACCTGCAGTCACCTAAAGGTTAATAACCTTCCTAGGTTAAATAAGATAATCAGAGCTGTACATAGTACAATTGGATAAATATTGCAACTACTTTGATCTCGAGGCTACCACATTATAAAAGTGTGCTAGTATTGTCATGTTCTTGCCTTAGGAATATCTTAGATACCTTCAAGCCTCTTCAGTATATACCTTGGACGATGTGAAAAGGTTACTGTGAAATAGACTCTAGCATGATGAAGCCTCAGCGGCAGTTGTAGGTATGGCCTATTGCCTGGCTCCACAGAGAGCCTTCAGAACCTTCTCCAAAAGAAGTGCCCGTCCTCACAGACTACACGCTAACACTACATATTCATTGGTAAAGCATATTTAGAAACTCAGACTAAAATCTTTTATAGCTAAACTGAACATGTACATATGCAAATCTGTATAATAGGAAATGTTTAATATATGGTTTCAATTCAAATATTCATCTTCGTATAATATTGTTAATATTGTAATCTTATTTCATTTTATTTTACCCCCTTTATTTGGCAATAGGATGTGCCCAAGCCATATCACTTTCCAATTTGCTTAAATATCGCTTTCCTTTTTCTAATCTCCCTGAACATCACTGGATTTGCTGCTGGCTTCACATTACACCTATTATATTCTGCTTATGAAAATGACTATAGACCATTACCTGGGATTGAGAAAGAAAAGCGGGTGATGCATCATTTACATTTGGTGTCATACTTTCAGTCTTCTGAAATTGACTTTTAATGTCATATTTTCCAGGCCCTGGTACTCCCTAAATCATTACAGGAAAGAAAAAAAATACATGTTCTCATTAAGAAAACATTTATAGCACCGAAGAGAACAGTTGGTTAAATATCTGAACCAAAGCTACAGGGTTTTTAAGTAGATTCCTATATGATATTACCAAAGCACTTCATTAAGAGGCAAGACAGAATAAACTTAAGAGCAACCAAAAAAAGGGGGGGCGGGGTTTGGGGAATTTTCCTTATCAAAGCTTCTCAGGAATATGAAAAAACACTGCTTGAAACTTTGCTGCCCTCTACTGATAGAGCTCCGAAAAAAATCATCTGGTTTTTCACAGGATTAAACATTACAATGAGTGAAAGAGGCTTCTACATTTTTTTCCATTCAAATGTTTACAACCAGCTCTTTTCTAAAAAAATATTTTTCTGTCTTTCAAATTTCTGTTAATCAACAGACCACTTTGTTTCCAACAAATGAACTTCAGAATATATTTTAACTACAAGTGTTATAAGATGTAAGACATTAAGCTTTTAACTAGAAACTTTACAATAGATAAAAATTAATTCAGTAAACACTGGGATTGAGTTTTTATTATCTTAGTAATGCAATTTAAACATATATCAAGAAGCACTTTCCATTCATCATCAAATATCTTAATTACCTTGAAAAAGTACTCTTCGTACCATAAAAATGTTAGATTCAAATCTTTTGCTTTATGTATACCTCCTCTACTTTTCTACATTTGAAAGAAATATTCCTTTATTTGTGAATTAAACACTTATAACTTGCATGTATAATGAAATTCTATCAGCAAATCCTGTCACCTTTATCATTCTATGTCCAAATTCAACCACTTCTTTCCACCTCCACAAATACCACTCTGATCCAATGCACCATCTCT